AGCCCAAGGAAAAGTCGGCTCAGGTTTCGACATTGCAACAGCTGTCTACGGCACCTCTCTCTACCGTCGCTTTTCTCCCTCTATCCTTTCTTCTCTCGGTGAACCAGGCTCCCCAGGGTTCTCCACCCGCGTCAAAGCTTCAGTTCAAGACACTGCCTCTCAAAAATGGGACACCCAAATCGAAAAAGGTAAAATCATCATCCCCAAAGGTATGGCTCTCGTCATGTGCGACGTAGATTGCGGATCCCAAACCGTCGGAATGGTAAAAAAGGTTCTCGAATGGCGAAAACGTGATCCCGTCGTCTCGAAAGAATTATGGGATGAGTTGCAATCGCGAAATGAGAAATTGGCAGAAATTCTCTCCTCGGGAAATGACATTAGTGCAGCTGGTCCAGCTTTCTCGGCTATTCGAGAGAAAATCAGAGAGATGGGCAGTCTTTCAGGAGTTCCGATTGAACCGGAAGAGCAAACGAAATTGCTAGATGACGTCATTGAGAATGTGGAGGGAGTGATTGGGGGTGTGGTTCCTGGTGCGGGAGGCTATGATGCGATTGTGCTACTGGTTAGGGATGATCAGGAGACGATGGATCAAATTGCATCTTTCCTGGCGAAATGGGGAAATGTGAAATTGTTGGGTGTTAAGGGGGAAATGGATGGTGCGAGAGTGGAGGATGGGGGATTGTATGGAACCTTGCTTGTGTAGATGTAAGGGGATGGGGATGGGGATGGGTATCGAGGTGAGAGTTTGCATGTTTTCGCTTCTTCTCACAGGGGGGTTGGAAATGAAATATCTAACACTTATGACATAGTTTTGGGAATCAAAAATGTACTTATCTATGCCTCCTCATCTATCTCTTGATTAACATGATCTTTCAACACGATTCATCAACTCCATAGCGCACAATCTAAACTAGCATCGTAATAACCATTCTGACATATATCAAACAGCATCCAGGCGCCCAAACATATCAGCAAAAGCTTCCCAAGTCTCGAAACAAGCTTATAGAGTCAATCTCAGAGAAAGTGAGGAGATATACTGTAAGCTGTAAGTACGATATCAACAACTCCAGTATATATATACTACATAATGCATACCTAGGTATATATCCCCACATCAATACCATATACATCACATCACATCTTCCAACCCACATCAACACCACACCACGTCTTCCATACCACATCAATCGAATCCATCACACATCACCATCACACCTCACAAATCAGATCAAAATATATAGCTAGCTATACTTCGCGCTATACTCGTGCTGGTATTCGAGCAAATACTCTCTCTATTTGGAAATATGTAGTATGTGGCGGATTAGTTGAGATGAGTGGAGTGGGAGTGGGAGTGGGGGATCTGATGGTTATAAGGGGAGGGTTGAGGGAGGTGTTTGGTTTTGGTTTTGTTGATGGTTGGGAAGATGTGGGGGAGATGTGGGGGAGATGTTGATGGGTGATGGGTGATGGGTGATGGTTGGAGATATTGATGGTTGGAGATATTGATGAAGATACTAGGTGTGTATGTAGGATCTCATAGTGCGAATTCCGGAATTTCTTGTGGGTTTTTTGGGGGGTTTTTTCTTTGGATGGGGCTTGAGATGGCGCGTATTGGGTATTTGTATTTGTATGTGTATATCTATCCCGGAGAAATGGTAGTGATGTTTTGGGTTTGATTGAGAGAGATATTCGAAAGGAGGAGGGGGGGATCTGAGGTTGGCGATCTTGATAGATCTATGGATGGATGGGGTTGTTATGATTATTTATATTATTTGGATACATTGGATATGCTAAGGTTATTAGACTTAGATATAGACGCTTGCTTGCGAGCGATATTATATCATGGTAGGTTGGTTATATGAGAGAGAGGGAGAAAGAGAAATTTTAACAGATGGGTCTCAGACGTATACACTGAATCTTGAAATTATATTATGAGAAGGAAATACTAGGTAGGTCTAGTAATAATATATATAGAATCTGGAATAAATTCAAAGAAGAGGAGATAATCGTTTTCATAGATTGGAATTGCGTTATGAGAGTGAATAGTATACTAGGTAGCTTGATTCTCAAAACTGTACCTACCTACTTGAAGGGAAGGTTGATTTTAGATAGGTGGGTATGTTTGGAAGGTGAATCTGATCTGATATACAAAAGAAAAGAAAAGAAATTTAGATATATGGATGGATGGATGGATGGTAGATGGATGTGAGAATAGGTATACTTCATGCTGTTGAGTCGAGAAGCGAGAGGCAAGGAGGGATTTTCTAGATGTAAGGTCATGGATGAAAAATGTATACTTAATTCAATCACTTGAAGGAGGATAAATAAGGGACTGGAGAATCTGATGTTTTAGAATGAGTGATCAATTCTAGATATATCTACAAGCTAAATTTGATGTAAAACTTTAGATACCTATACGAATATAATAGTATACATTTTTTTTACTACCACGTTGAAAGATGGGGAGGTATTTTCTAGATAGACAAGAGAATGTATATTCAATCGCTTGATGCAGTATAGGTAAGAGACTGGAGGATCTGATGTTTTGGTAGGAGACGTATGGAGTAGATAGTCATTTGAATGTTGGGGATAAGAGAGGTGATGGGGAATAAAAGCTAGCTTCTTGATGTTGCTAGTCTATTGTAAGCGAAAAAAACAGGCGGAAATTGACCTTCTTGAGCCTATTTCGATATCACTTATTTATTGAAGCTTGAGCCAGCTACCTAGCTATTGTAAGCGAAAAAACAGGCGGAAATTGACCTTTTTGAGCTTATTTCGATATCACTTATTTATTGAATTATTAATTCAATTCAAAATAGACGTCAGATACAAAAATAAAAATGAGAATTTGAATCTTTCCTATACTAACAAGAAGAGTTTTTATTATTCAGAATTAATAGTAAAATATATATGAATTACTGAAGTTCTTTCAAACGGTGGTCAATTTCCGCCTGTTACTTGGCTGATGTAGAGCTACCCAGCTATCGTAAGAAGATAAAGAATGGTGGGGTAAAATAGAAAATTCCACTGACGAATGACTCAAAAAAACACAAACCCAACAAAACCACCCACTCCACCCCTCCAAACCAATTTCCAAACTGTATTCTCCACGCCTCATTACCCGCGCCATCACCAGGGCACATACTCAATTTTTCAGAACCATGGCCAGCTTCTCCTGCATCAAATACACACCCGCCGAGGAAACCGAGCTCAAGCAATGGACGCTCACCTCTGAGCGACTCAAGACCGCCAGCGCCGAGACCCCCTCGCTCCTCGATTCTCTCAACACGCATTTGGCATCTCGCACCACTCTCCTCGGCTCCAAGCCTTCGTCTGCAGATATCGCTATCTACGAGAGTTTGGCACCCCAGGTCGCAAAATGGAGCAGCGAGGAACGAACGGGTGAGAAGGGTCATCCTAATATTGTGCGCCATGTGGATTTTGTGCAGAATTCGCCGATTTTTGGGTTGAATATTGAGGAAGAGAAGAAAGTCCAGGTTGATGCGGAGGAGATCTTATATGTTAAGCCTCCCGTGGATGCCAAGGCCGAGAAGGAGCGATTGAAGAAAGAGAAAGCTGCCGCTGCCGCAGCCGCCGCAGGAGGTGAACAAAAGGAGTTGGCAGATCGAACCAAGGAAAAGAGCGACAAGGGAGTTGTAGCTCAAGTCGCCGAGAAGGTTACAGAGGCAAAGGATACAATTGTTGCTGCTGTAACAGGCGAACAACCACAATTTCCTAGACAAAAGAAGGAAAAGAAAGAGAAGGCTCCAAAACCTCAGAAGGCTCCTGCTCCATCGGCCCCTCTTTCTCCATGTTTGATCGATCTCCGTGTTGGCCATATCCTCAAAGCTATCAAGCATCCCGAGGCCGACTCTCTGTTTGTCTCCACAATTGCTATGGGTGACAAGCCCGGAACCGATGATACATCTGAATACGAAGGACAAGTTGTGCGAACTGTCTGCTCTGGTCTCAACGGTCTCGTTCCTCTCGAGGAAATGCAAGGTCGCAAGGTAGTAGTTGTGTGCAACCTCAAACCCGTCAAGATGCGTGGTATTAAATCATGCGCCATGGTCTTAGCCGCCTCTCCCAGACTCAAGGAAGGAGAAGAAGATCACCACGCCGGCCCAGTCGAACTCGTTACTCCCCCCGCTGAAGCAAAGGCTGGTGAGCGAGTCTTTTTCGAGGGATGGCAGGGAGAACCTGAGGGCGTTTTGAACCCAAAGAAGAAGGTTTGGGAGATGATCCAACCTGGTTTCACCACAACTGCAGATTTAGAAGCTGCATTTGACGCGGCTGTCGTAAAGGAGTTGAGTAAGGAAGGAGAGGATGCTAAGACAGGCGTCGGAAAATTGGTCACTGTGAGTGGTGGTGTTTGCAAGGTTAAGTCTTTGGCTGGAGCTATCATTAGATAAAGCGTACAAGCAACCCAAAGCACATTAGGGTGGATGGAAGTTAAGAGTTGAGAAGTCTCGTAGCTACGAACGCACCTCGTGTATGATACCACCAATGATATACATGTAAAAAAATGGATGAATGAGCATTGCACTGCTCCATACTGCACAAGAACTTATTATTCCAAAAGATGACGTGAAACGTGACATGATATGATATGATTATTGAGATTGATATATTAGATTATGTCCAAATATAATCAACGCCCTTCTTAGTGCTGTGTAAGACCAATGAATTTTCCATCCCAATGCTAACCCAAAAGAATGACTATAGTCATTCACCTATTCATCAGATCCATCCATCTCAAAAGACTACCCCAAGCCCTAGATTTAGAATATCCATGCTACGCACCGTCGAAAATGCCAAACTTTTGCAATCCCCTCCGCATACTTTTTCACGCCATATATTCCATGCGGTAGGTAGGTAGGTAGATAAAAAGCAATATTTACGCCCGCCCTAGAAAATCTCAATCTAAAGAGTGTTTTTCAAAAAAATAAAAATTAGAACTCCAATATTTCTAGAGAAATTCAGCATGCAAGTCCATATGTTCAGGGCATCCTATCCCCGGATCGCTTAAAGATCAATTTCTTAGGATCAGAACTGTTATTATCATCGCTGTCGTCATCACCCACTTCCATCGCATCATCCACCTCCAACTCCACTGGTCCATTAGAGACAGGAGTTATTGCCGGAAGAGATTTGGATTTCGATCCATCAACATCTGGATCCTCTTTCGAAACAACATTTTTCTTTTCCAATTCCAACTGCAACGCCTCCTCCGCTCTCAACCTCTCAATCTTCCTATCCGCAATCTCCTTCACCTCTCCCAACCTCCTTTTGATATTCTCAATCTCCGTGCTGCACTCTCCATCGCGGAGAAATTGATGCGCAGCGTGTTCGCATTGTCCCTGACACCATTCGAGCCCCTTATCAAGCTCGTCAAATATATCAGGGGAATTGCTTCCCGCGCCTTCGATTCCCCCTCCGGCGCGACGATACCCTCGCAACACATTCATCGTATTTCCAATATTCTTGCGCTCGCGCATCGACCCCATGTTTCTCGACGATGGGAATTTAAGTTGTGCTCCCGCGCGAGCATCTCCATTTTTCGCGTGAGAGATTGCGTCCGCGCCCGCGTGAGGTTGCAACGAAGGCTTGAGCAAGGCGCTACCCAATACTTTTGACGCCTCGGATTCGGATTCGTCGTCGCTTTCTTCCTCGGCTTCCATTTCGGCCGCGCGTCTCATTTCGGCCATTTTGGCGGCCATTTTCCCCTTTCTCATGGCGTTCCGGTTGCCGCTCACAAATTTGACGAGTTCTTCAAATGCCGTCTGGACCGCGCTGTCGTAGTATACTATGATCATGGATCTGGTTCTGTACTTGGGGGCGTGTGAGTTTCCCGATGCGAGGGATTCCGTTTTGCGTTTTCGAAGGACAGCAGGGGCTCGTGGGAGGGGTTCCGTGGGAGGTGTAGGCTGCGAGGATTGCCGAGTTAGAGCGTTGGGAGATGCTCGGGGGGTAAGGGGCTCTGGCGAATGCGGGGCTGCGGGAGATGGGGACTGGTTGTATTCAAGGGCGGCGGCAGCAGCAGCTCGAGCTACGGATGGGGAATTGGGTCGGGCTTCGGAGGAGAAACCATTTTGTGCGGATTTTGGGGAGCCGATGGGTGATGAGGGAGTTTGCTTGGGCTTTTCGGATTCGGTGGTGGCTTCTTCGCCGTCTTTGGGTCGGAGTGACTCGGTAGAACCTTTATTTTTCACGGAGCGTGCAGGTTTGTGATCTGTCAAGCGGGCAAGCTCAATTTGTCGTAAAGCTATTTGGCCGTTTAAGTCGTCTAGTCGTTTGTTCCAATCCGGTATGGATTGGGTTAGACTGGTCAACGCATCCAACGTCGAAAATGTCGTCATGATGAATTAGGATCAATGTAAGTGAGAAATGATTCGGCAAGAGCGTTTTGAGTGTGGATAGTATTATTCGGAGTATATTGGCTGTGGTAAAGAATATAATTTGTCTGATTCGAGGATTGCAAGCTTCGAGGTAGGTAGTTAAGGAAGTCAATGGACATCATACTAGTACCATCATCACTGCGTCATAATGGGGAATAAGTAAATAAACAGTTGGACAATGCGTGCGAGTCTCTGCGTGGAGTGTAGGAGAGGAGATCGAAGTAAAGTGATTCGGATCTCTTTCCTTCAATTACAAGACCCGAAGGACTTTATTAACCAGGAGCGTGATCTATAAATGAAGGATATAGGTATGGAGTATCCAATATGTATCTCGGACTAACTGCATGCAAGTTTGAACAGGCGTTTATAAGAGGATGCGGATACCGACCTATATCTATAAGAATTATTGCATGAAACTATAGTTCAACTTACTTGTAACCTTACATAGGATAGTGAAAAGCTATTGTGTGATGTTTTGTTTTGTTCAATTAATTTTACTTTTTTTATTTTACATCGATGCAGACCGACCTTGGAGAATATGTATAACGTGTGGTATGGTAGGGTGTGGATGAATAGAATCAAGGGCAGAGGAAGTGATAAGCCGTCTTCAATGAAATGGCGTAAACTTAATCCTAGTACATCGGATTCGAACGCTAATGATATTCAGGGATTTTTTCGGATCTGTGGACTGCGGATTGTGGACCCCTTCATTATTCAAGTTCATTGTCAGTGTCAGAAATCAATAAGCGAATCATCCAATTCATTTCCATTTTATATACATAATTAGCAAACAATATTGAAACAAAACGGAGGCATTTCCTGCAAAAAGAAGAAGAAACGGTATGATGAATTACAATTGGAGGAAACACACGGCTCGAGCCGTTAGAACTCTTACAAGACAATTATCTTCCCTGAAGCTTCACTGTGAATCGTGATCAGGATTCAGAACGCACATCAAGTTTCACATAATTCGTGTTGGGAAATACGAAAATGGGAAATCAAAGAATGTCACAGAACACGTAATGATACAACGCAACAGAGCAAAAGAAGTTCACCGAGCGGTGATTTCCTTCAATATCGTATCACTTTTTCATTTCAACCAAGCTGTCGGTACCTTTACAACAATCTGATAGATCCATATCGCTCTGTATGTAGCTTTTACCTCGGGAAAGTGCAGACGAACTGATATCGTTTTGTTAAGGTTTCTGCTGCGGTGCCACTGCGGGTGAAGAAGATTGTTTCTTTAGAGGAATTTGTCTTTTCAATATCGGTAATTCGATTCTTACCTTCTGATAGGTATTCAGTCCTTGCAACCAACCATCTTTTTTCAGAGCAACTGTTAATCGTGTTATTGAAATAATCCTGCCGTGTTAATGTGGACGAGAAGAGTTCCCTATTCGAGAAATAGATGTTCAAATATAATGTCAAATCTCGCTGATAGGTCTTCAACCCTTACCAAACCCATCCCAGCCTCCATTTCCCTCTTCGTCTTTTACTGCATCTATAGTTTAGAAAAAGTGTTGGTTTTTTAATTATTTACCTCGGAACTTTGTTGTCATCGTATACCTACCTACTTTGTGTTCGTACATTTCCTGTCCTTCTGTTTATACCCCCCTCGTCATTAATGCGTTGCAAAGTTCCTATCTAATAAACAACCCCTCGTTAGATCTCACGCGGAGAATAAATCACCAAACTTCTTTTGATTGTGGAAGAATACCTAGCTACTATTCGGGCTTTTATACGAGCTCATACTCTTTTGACTACATTATCATCTAGGGATGTGAAAATGTGTGTTCCTTTAGCCGCAATACAGTGTTACGTTGATCTACTTGAATAATAAATACCACTGCATGATAGCTAGCTACCTTGTTTCGAAAAATGAGTTCACATCACTCTAATACATTTACAAAGTTTTCTTCATCAGAGACTACAGAATAAAAAGCTCTGCCAATATAGAGCTTTTCATCATCTCATCTACCCCTCCCGGGGAATACTCTCTACCCGGTCCGGTTCATTTTCAGACGGTGAGGCATTTCGAGAATTAGACTAGAAGCATTAATGTCACCATCTTGTCTCGTGGCTTTTAGTTTTTTTTGTCTATTGACCAGGACAGGGCCAGCAGGGGAAGACCAGAGATTTTTAGTTTGACTCTTCCCGTTCCTTGTCACACGTGCTTTATGCAGAAAACGGCCGCCATCGACTTTTTTCATGCATGGATTATGAGAAAACCACTCAAGTGTTTGATACATGGGTGGAGATGGTGGTAAATGATACTTAAATGAACTAGAATTGGTTAGAGAGTCTGAAAATCCCGGTTAATGTGAAAGCTCACGAGAATCCAACTTATGTGCGGCAAACTTACCGCTGTTTTGTGAGGTATTGTATATTTCGTACCCAACCACCAACCACCAACCGCAGGAAGCTGAGTTGTAGATAATTATGATCTCCATGGAGTTTTAAGAAAGGAGAAAGAAAAAAGGAAGGCTTAGATTGAAATTGTTATTGTAGCTTTGCTGTACAGTATTAGCAACTGCTGCAATGTCATTTTGCCGAGCCGAAGCTCTAATTGATAATTTAAGGCCAAAGCTCTTCCTTCTTCCATTCCCCAATAATCTCCCCTTCCTTTCCGGCATCTCCATCGGGGCCGACGTAAGTAAATCTCCATCTCCTTGCTTTATCAGGTTCACTCAAATCAAGTTGTTCAATCTCCACAGGTTTGATAATCACAACCCTGAAATTCTTCCTGGAAGCTTCATCATTCAAATCAGTGACTTTTTGACCCAATTTCCAATTTGGATCGCTTGGTGGCTGCGAAACGGGTGTTCCAGGTATAGGATTTCTGAAAGAACCTATAGATTCAAAGTCAGTCACAGTATTCATCCAATTTCTACATTTTCTTTACCTCTCATTCCCGGGCTGATATTGCCAAAATGTGCCGTAAGTTCTTTTCCCCAACTCCAACCTTCTTTTCCATCTTCCTTCACAACTCTCATTCTCTCTCCAATCTTTGTCTTTACAGTTCGTGTTCCACTTGATTCTTGACCACTCCCTTCAATATCTTGACCTACGATATAAGCCTCTCCCTTCACTCTCCATTGGGTCATGACTTCTTTGATCCAGAAAACTGCTTCAACAGGCCCACCACCACCACTACCCTGACTCTGTTCTACCTCTCCATGACCATGTGAACTAGCAAAAAATTGGGGAACCTTTTCCATGCGCACATCTGTGGTAAAGGTTGGAAGATCACTCTCATAAACTCGATCATTCATAGGAGCATCATTGTGTTTGTTCTCTGGAAGCTCGGCCCACATTCCTCTGTAGATGCAGTAACGAGCTCGAGGAAGATAAGGAGTGGGAGAATCCTTATCATTACTTGGTTGTAATGATGAGAGAACGAATTCCGGGGAATCCATCTTGGAGAGATGGGAAAGGAATAGAGGACGCCATGGAGCTTGACCGATGGATGCTGGAGTGGTGGTTGATGTAGACATTGTGCGAGCGAGACGCAGAAGTCGTGCAGAAGCTTTGGAAGCTATTTTGAATGATTTATTTCTAGACGTTGACGGTCGATATGAATGCTAGATGAGTATATATCGTAGCTTTATGGACACAACAAGTGGCGAGATTTTGGCAGTTGGCTCTTAGTTTGTTGTGAAAGTTGATGGATGACGCATTGATTGAAGCTCAATTGAACAATTCAAAGCTTATGGTGGGGTGATGACATCGCACCAAAACCATCTACTGGCACTAATATTAGTCCCATCATCTACCTACCTACCTACCTAACTACAAATTAACAAGATGCGATTTTCAAGTCAACAACTATCTTCTCATGTTTGGGAATAGCTTCAATATCTCATATTTCAGAGATCACATTACAAATGAGCGGTGATCATTGACCAAATTGACTTTGGATCACTCAAAGTCAAGAAACCCCACATTCGGTGCATCATTGCCCGAATCCGCAAGAACATTTCTTTTACCCCAGATGATGATCACCATCAGGACCCCTCTTCCAAGCTGGAAAACATGGGGAAAGCTTCTCTATGTGGCAATCTGATGAATGAGTTAAGGTTCCTGAAAAGAATTTTACCTCCAATCGAGGAGCTTGTTTATATTGCTTTCCTTAGGAGAGGGATGGATCTCACGAATGAATGCAGCTCACCGTCATTGATACTGCCATTGGTAATGCGGAAAATGTTTTTATATATTCTCAATACATCCTCATCTGTATACTCTTGCTTCGCTTTCTGCGGTTGAAAATTCCTTTTTTGATAGCCCCTTCTCGATTTCAATTGTAAAATATTGAACACTCGTTGAAGCCCTCGAATCGTGAGACTCCATATCGTTCCGCGACCTTTTCTCTCGCCCAAGATGCGTCTCATAATTACCTCAACAATAGCACTTTTCTCCTCTCTCATAGCTGCGAAAGGACATCGCGGCTCTGATGTTGTTCCCGTTCCTCCCCGTAGCAATCATAAGACTTGCACGGTTCATCCCCTCGGAAACCATACAGACGATACTCCTCAAATCCTCAAGGCATTTTCAGATTGTAATCATGGCGGAACGGTTGTATTTCCTAAGAATAAAGAGTACTGGATCGCGACGAGATTGAATCCAATCATTTACGATGTAACGATTGATTGGCAAGGAATTTGGACTGTATGCTTGGGCTTTCTTCTACTCACGAGAGGCGTGCTAACGGTCGGATAGTTGTCGGATAATCTTACATATTGGCGAAATAATTCCTATCCCGTCGCATTCCAAAATCACGCTGCCGGTGTTGTCTTTACAGGAGATCGTATTCACATTGATGGAAAAAGTACTGGTGGTATCAACGGCAATGGAAATGCTTGGTACAATGCCGAGAAAGCAGTCACGCAGGCAGGACGACCTATGCCCTTTGTCTTCTGGAACGTTAGTGAAGTATTCGTCGAGCATTGTATGTCACCTTTATTCTCTCTGCTCTTCCGATACATGATCATCAAGCTAACAAAACTTTCTGGAATTAAGTTTCGATAAAGGATTCTCCTCTCTGGGCAATCAACATCATGAACGGTACTAACATGTGGTTTAACGATATGCTCGCCAACTCGACCGCCGTAAACGTACCATATGGAACGAACTGGGTCCAGAATACCGATGGATTTGATACTATGGACGCGAACAACGTCAAATTAACCAATTTCTGGTATCAGGGAGGTGACGATTGTATTGCCATTAAACCAAGATCATATAATATTTGGGTCCAAAATGTACCTATCCCTCTCTTCATCGATTGATTCGATTCATATCCTCTTATCCCGCTTCTACCTCTACAATCTAACTCAAAATTACATAACTAATCTGAAGAAATAGGTCACATGCCACGGCGGCAACGGAATCGCAATTGGTTCTCTAGGCCAATACGTCGAAGACTCATCCGTCGTAAATGTTACTGTAAAAGACGTCAATATCATCTCGTACAATCTTGACATGCACAACTCCGCATACATCAAGACATGGATAGGTTTCCAAGCTCCACAGAGCGGATACGAAAGTGCAGGTCTCCCCCGAGGCGGCGGCTGGTATGTTTCCTCCCCCTTTCCCTTCCCTCCCTAAACTAACACTCAAACCCAGGGGCAACGTAAGCTCTCTTCTGTTCGAAAACTTCCACATCGAAGGCGCCGCCATCGCAGCTGGCATCTCCCAGGACTCCGGAAACAACGGTTCCTACGCTGGCACTTCCAAGTTTCTCATCTCGGACATCACGTTCCGAAATTTCACGGGATATTTGACTGGTGCGAAAGGAAACAGAACGGCGAGTGTTAGTTGTAGCAAGGTACACCCGTGCTATGGAATCGAATTTGAGGATTTCATGGTTGCGTATGCGCAGAATGTGACGGCGGCAAATGCGACGGGGACGTGCAGTATGGTTGCGAAGGATGGAGTGGAGGGAATGCTGGGGAGCGGATGTTAATTATAATGAAGGGGATGTTTGTTCTTTTGAAATAATGCGATTTGTGTCTGTGACTAGGAATATGATTTTCAATCACATTTGATATATTGGCTTGCTATGGATGCACTGAGATACTTCAAAAACTTGACCAGGTACTTGTTATGCTATTCGCTCACATTTGTCCTTGACATAGTATTCTGATCATCTCGCAAGTACTTCTTTCTTACACACGACTATAATGCCATTCGTTCAAGAAACTTTTTTTCCCCCAAGAGTTCCTTGTGCATTGATAGGCTTGTATGAAGGCACATTCCAACCATCGTCACGATCCTGGTATTCTTGATTTAATCCTCATCCTCCTCTCCCCATTCCATCTCGTCTTCATCATCACTACTCTCATCCGAATCCACTATTTGGCCATCGTCCTCTTCTTCAACCAATCCACTGCTCTCTTCACCCACTGGATGGCCTCTCAATTTCCATTTCAATTCCATGACAACCAACATGGGACCTTCTCCCCTCTCCATCAAACCTTTTCTTTCCCGACACTTATCCCCATTCTTCCCTTTCGCAGGTTCGGTCCGCTGACAAGCATTACCCATACAAAAGGGACAGACTTCAGTCCAATGCACCGCCTTACCTCTCCACTCCCACGTCTTCACATCCCCCAACTCACCTTTTTCATTTTCCTCCCCCGCACGCGCATTTGAATGTTTACGTGTACTCAACACTCCTCTTTTTCCCATTGGGAATTCCCACGTCCGGGCCCACTCCACGATCAATTTCAACTCCTCTCTCTTCTCCTCACTCGTCTCAAATTCCATCTCTAGCACCTCGAGCTGCGGAAACCCCGCCAGCGATGCGCCCCATTTCCCCGCTTGCCATGCAGGCGCCTCGCCGCGTCGCGAGCGCTCCATGTCTGCGCGCATGCTGGGGACATCGGCGTTGCCGCGGTAGGGATTGATGGCTAGTGGTTCGTTTCGCTCGTTCCACCACCAGTCGCCTCTTCGGATGGTGAGTTTGAGATGGGTGATATTTTGGAGGTAGTGTGCGGAAGTGAGGGGACGGAGGAAATCTTGGAGCCAGTAGAGTTGGGTGTGGAGATGGATGGATTTGAGGAGCGCGAGCTGGTAGTCTGGGAGCCGGGGGAAATAGGAGTGTTCGCTGCGGGCGGGCTTCGCGGAGGGGGGATGTCGCGCGTGCCAGAATACGTGCGGGATGCATGTTGGTGGGAGGTGGTAGGTTTCGAGGTAGATACGTCGACATGTTCGCAGGAGGGAGAGGTGTAGTCGTGTGCGGCATGTAAAGCCTGGGCGTGCGTAATTGGTGTTGGGGTCATACTCTGTGTTTGGAATTGCAGTGGGAGTGAGAACGTAGGAGAAAATCAGGGAGCGTATTTCGGCTGGGATGACACCGGAATAGAATGGAGAGAGAAGTTGGAGGCGGGGAGGAGTGGGTTTGAGATGGATGTTTAATGGAGGTGGAGTGGGGGTTCGCAAGGCTAGATCAGTAGCAGGAGTGGTAAAGTCGAAGGTAAAGTGGTTATTCCTGGTTTGATTATCCATAGTTGAACTGTGGTTCACTGAGGTTGAGGTTTTGATGTTCGTTGTTAGTATTCTCGAGAGTTAAATCTCCATATCAGTGCTGCGTAGTGAAGTGTGTGAAAGAGGGTGGAAGAGAGGGTGTCAGAGAAAGATAAAAGAGTACAACTCCTATTGCAGTGGACTTATATCATAGACGACTCATGCTGTGCCGTGGTCACACATGCATAGGTTATGGTTGCCTAAAAAGGATTAACGAGTTGAACTGAAGATTGCTCAGGACATGAGTTCTATCTCCAATAACCCATTGACTTGACTCAGGTATTCATGTTGAAGAACTGAATTCAATTCAACATTTTCAAACAACTTGCCCCATCTATGGGTTGTAAAGTTAACAAGTAGCATAGGGAGTTGCTCGTGATCATGTCGTCACCTGATAGAGCTATCTTCATAAAATGGTACTCTCTGATGCACGGCACCTTCTAACCCAACGCTCGTTCTTTAGCTACCCCTCAATCCGTACACCCACCAACGAGAGGAAACATAACCGCATCACGCGCTGATGAACTGATAAGAAATCCCTTCATGGATAAGAAATGCCAAGCCATGGATCGGCATGTATAGGACCACACGTCCGTCTTCATTCCTCATGCAATCTGGAGAAAAACACTAGGAAGGAAAAAGCGAAACCGCGAATATTATATTTCAAAAAGAAACTCCCAATGCTAAGTATAGGAAGACGACAGTACTGTGATTCGAATTGGGACAGAAAATCATTCTAGGATTCTGATCCTCTTGACGTCTAGGTATCTGTAGAGCCAATTCTGCTTAATACGAGTCCCCATCAAAGACTAGTGGACTAATAGATAGACATTGCAGTGCAGCTAAACACCCCTAGCTTTTTTCTCCTGCACATACCTAGATATTTGGCTAGCACGGCTAGGTGCTAGGTAGCTTGGGCGGCACCTGCCACCCTCATAAATAGTGCTCAGTGCTCAGGGCTCAGGGCGTA